CACACACACACACACACACACACACACACAGCACTGACCACTCCCCATGGGCCGAGGTTGCTGCTGTCGCCAACACGCTGCTGCTTTACAGAAAACCACAACAAAGCCTCACGGCATGCGCTAACACTCGCACACRTTCCTACGCAAGCTAGAGAAGCAGGCGGAACCACGTGATTAGCACCTGACCCGGAGACAACATTGTCAGTTGGGGACCTGTGATTGGTCTGATAACAAAAAGGTGGCTCTGCACCTCCACACGTTTCCTCCTGAGCTCCTTCGGTTGTAGCCGTTGAGACCAAAATGCATTTCACTTGCCACTGATGTTTTTCCACAGCAAACCACTGGCGGAAGATTTCATCACCTCCACCTTTTCACTGTTTCCACTTGAGGCAAAGACAACTTAACTGACAGATTGTTTAGTTCGTTTTAAATAATWTGAGTCTTTAAGTTTTATTTAGACSTCAGCATCTTCAGATTATGCTGCTGAAAACTGGACTGGTTCTGTTCAAACTGCAMAGGTCCTGTAACGGTGTGGATGGAGGTTTATGGGGGTGCCGTGGGGTCTTACCTCCAAGAGGAAAGGCAGAACAGGCACAAAGGTGTTGGTGCTGCCAGAGAGCAGGGTGAGGGCTCTGCAGCAGTGCATCCTCAGAGGGTAAAACTTTGCTGTAGGCACCAGCCTGAAAATTAARAAATAATATCGGTAAATGTCTCCACCTGCTGGTGGTGAAATGTACAACAGTTTTCACACATTTTGTTCTCAGCAAGATYTGACTTCAAATTAATATTATTTAAACAATTTCTGAAAATAAATTCTGAATTTACTTTTTCCTGGTGCTGTGGGGATATCTTTATATGTTGTTTGAGTCATACTTCTCAACCCATTCAGTTTTCTCTATTTTCTATGACGTTTTCTGAACTATTACATCAAATTTTTTACAACTACAATTGTCACTTACATCCTCCTCTGGCTCTGGGTCAGACTCTGGCTCCAACATGTAAGGTTGGATTAAGGCTGTGTGGTATATGCGGTAGATGGTAGAAACGGTATGAAGTTGGCCTACGGTAGAAATTTATACTCTACCATCCTATCGTCATTACGTCATCGCACCTGTATGAACAGGGCTGCGAGTGCAGACAACTGAGCAGGAGTTCGAAATATAATGAAGAAATTCTAGCGTTTTAAAACACGTGTAGAGAGAATAAATCCTCAAAATTTCCTCCTCCCGCTGTAGAAAAGTTACGTCGTGTCGCAGGATCATTTCCTCCCTCTCCTCTCGCTGCACGTTGTGCAGAGCAAAGCTTTAACAACTATGGTTTTTCACACCAAATTTTCAGAGAAAAAAATAGTTTTTTTATGTTTGTTACACACAGAGATTATTAAAAAAAAGACATGGATGTTCGTTCAGTCATAAATCCATCTTGCTAATGTAAAGTCGGCTTCCACTCTGATGATGAAGATGAGCGCGCAGCAGAGCAGAAGCTGATACGTTCAGCAGGCAGAAGCTCATTGTTTGGCAGGCAGATATTAAAGCAAAAATGTTGGGTTTAATTAAGATTACAGTTTTCTGCAAAGAAATGCTCTAAAAATTATATTTTAACTTTTTATGATAATTCTCCACAGCGATATATACAGTTACCGTGAAAGGGTTCAATTTATACCGTGATATGAATTTGAGGTCATACCGCCCARCCCTAGGCTGGATGAACAAGTCTTCTGTTGTTGACATCTATTAATTAATCTGTAAATAAAATTACAGATATAAATAAATAAAGGTTTCTGCACCTCTATAGAGTCGTAAACCCTTCTATCAAACCAGGATGGACCAGTCTTGAAGCTTGGGGGCGGGACTGTTAAGTGGCTCCTTTGGATTTAAAGAGACAGCCTCAAAATTAGTTAATCTGAAATGCACCTCAGAAAAGGGCTGAAAGAGGGGCTTGYGGARTTAGAATAAAGGGGAATTCAGACCAAATCATTGCAGTTCCAYTTATATGGACCCCAACTGAATGATTTAAAGAGGCAATAGTATGTGTTTCTCAGGCATATTTTTAAATTCTATACCACAATAAAATTAACTATGTCACATTCAGTTATTAAAATGCTGTGTATATATTTCAAGAGAAATCAAACTTGACTTCTCATCATATCCWTTTCTAAATGCCTTGAAATTGGCCTGTCTCTTTAAGAACCTCCTTCCACTTCTGTCCTGCCCATTTCAGCATGGGCCGTGTGTGTGTGTGTGTGCTCTGTGATGAGGAAGCTCAGCTTGGAGACACAGCCCAGAGGAGGAGCTGATCCCAAAAGGTGGTTCTGGTCTCAATCAGTCGTTTTTGCTCCCCTGCCTGGCTGCCTCAGGACTATGGGAYAAATCTTGTGCCAGCAGGAATTGAATTTGAATTGCTCAGATTGAATGTGTGCATAATGATGATGCATTATTGCAGTGATTAATTTTATCTATAGAAAATGTTACATTTACATCACATCATGGATCAGTCAGCAGCAGCATCTGATCAATATGTGATCCATGATGTGATGTAAATGTAACATCTTCTACATGTAGGTAAAATTAATCAATGCAATAAAATAACTTGTTTTTGTCACTTTTACGGTGGATTGCATCAACTCAGTTACATACAGAAGTGAAACTTCACCAAAGTGAAACTTATATCTGTGGATCTGTGATTACTCTGGCTGACTTTCTCAAGGACCAGGATGTGACACAAAAATCTGAATTTTGGAACTGAAATTGAAAGTAGTCAAACTGAATTTTTAATAGACCAAAATACAGTTTCAAAACAAATTAATTCAGATACAAAACTTTAAATTCAGTTTCAAATCATTAAATTCAGTTTCAGTTTAGTAAAATTCATTTTCAAACCAATGCATTCAATTTCAAATTATGCACATTCAGATTCAATTCCTGCTGGCCCAAGATTTATCTACAGGATTTCTCAAACATGCATGAATGAGTCAAAAGCATATGTTGACTTTCATGTTGTTAGACATTACAATTTCCCATTAGTCACTGAATGCRCAATCAGGCAGAAAAGCATTCTGCCTCTACAAAACTAAACATTGACTGAATCGTAGTAAAGCCTGGGGCTTTAGCACTGTCTCACTCCTGCAGGGTTTTAGTTGTTTCAAGCTTGTGTTACTGGTTATTGTTTATCTAAAGCCTCAGGTAAAATCTTAAAGAGTAACTTGTTCTGCTTTAGTTATGATTTAAAATAAGGCATTATCTAAACAACAAGCTGTACAAAGTGCCCATGGCTAAAGTGCAAAGAAGGGAAATGTAAGTATTTGTGACATACATTCCCAGTATTGTTTTATTACCTTGGTTTGTGGTGAAGTTAAATAACACATGTGCCACATGCAGAGATTATAAAGTTATTTGTTTAAACATGTATGCAAAGTAGTTTGAAGCTGTAAGATCCACCTTATAAAAATAAAAAATAACACAATCAGAGGGCTTAAATGTAAGGGTAAAGTGGAGTTAAGTGGCTCAATCTACCCCCAACCTGCTGAAAGAAGCCTTTAGAAACAGGGCTTAAAATGTGTTATGTAAATGTGTTCCTTAAATCAGGGTCTATACACTTTTACCCACAGTAAAGTTCAAGCACTTTTCAAGCATTTTTAAGGTAAATTATCAAACTTTTCCAGCATTAAACTTCAGAGCAGTCTGTACCTTCGTGCATCTTTCTCCATTGAACTTTATAACTACAGCACACCTGTGTGAACAAACTAAATTACTGTGTAACTGACTAACATTCTGCATTATTTAGTATTAATATTAAATAGACATAGAGGAAATCAGAGGCACACATGACAAAAACAGCTCCTTTTTTGTAATTAAACCATTAGTTAACCACCTTTACCGGCATTTTCAGTAAGAATGTTTTGTTGTTGCACATTTTAAAGTACAGCAGATGACATAAAACCTAGCTCCATCCATCCTTCAAATTTACAATTTACCTGCAAAGTTGTAAGCTAACTTAAATTAAAGATTCCCTCCCACTACTCTGGCTTGCCTTTTCATCCATCACAAAAAGTTGCAGGTCCTTCTTGCATACTTTGCAGGAAGCTACTTGAGGATTTGGTCCTCATTTCAATCATGTTTTGTATCTAGTGTTTTTAAGCCAGCAGTCATTAAAACAGGCACCGCCTGATATGCTGTTTACTCCCCCTCACTAGAGACACGTTTGTGACTAGCAAGACAGTTACATGCTCAAAGTACGCCTGCTTCATAGCTATGCCAGAAGACGGTTTATCAGCTGGTATTTTCATCAGGTGAGCACTACTGCTCACACACTGGTGTTACGAAAAGGAGCAAACACACTGAGCAGCAGCGAGGCTTTCTGAGAGTTCATTAAAAGGCAGAATGATTGCTTGTAATTTTCTGCCTTTAGCATAAAAATATCGAATTGAGGTTTTTAATCAAAGAGTGCTCTTCATTACAAAACTGCACAGTTAGAATATCAAGCACTTTCAAGGACTTTATACAGAAATTAAGCACTTTCCAAACCTTAAAAACACTTTGCTAATTTTCTAACATTTCAAGGATTTTAAATTGTTAAATATTTTCACAAAAAAAGCCCTCAGAAAACTGTCAACGAGAAGAAAAAGTGCACCAAACATGATATAAACTACATCCAGTTTAACCCAGAATGTGTTGCATTGGATACAAACTGCAGGCACACAGATGAAACATTAATTATGACGTACATTATATTTTAATAACTGGTGATTACTTACAGACACATATTACTGTACCTAGATTTACTGCACTCGTACTTTTACCTACCGTATTTCAGACAAATTACATTTTAATTATAATTTTTATGGTTTGTTTTTACCATCTGTGCAAAATGTGTCAAACTTCTGAAGTTAATTTGTTTTTACTTAATTTGGTCAAGACTGACACTGTAGAATCAAATCACTCCAGTTTAAAGTAAAAGAGTGAGGACTGAATGGATCTGTAACACTTTTTTTTCTTTTTAACTAAATGAGTCTTATACAGTAATTTCTACAATCTGAAATTATTTGGACTGAGTAAATGAACTCTGGACCAATTTTTCTTTTTTACTGTAATATAAAATATGCTAATAGCAGCAAAAAACGAAGGGGGAAAAAGGATTAATAAGCACCTGGGCGTTTTTATGGAAGATTCAAAAACATTATCAAACACTTACTGAAGCTAAAATAAAAATAAAATCTTTTAGACTTACTTGATGGTGCCAATTATGATTTGGCAGAGTGGATAGATCAGAGGTTGGAGAACATCACTGGGGTACAGGGTGCTGAGGACACGACACCACAGGTACAGACAGTGCACATACTGCCAGTTATACACCGACTGGTTGGTGTCCTGAGGAGAAAAACAATGATTAAAAAAAGTCTAACAAGTTTGCTTTAAAAAAATAACAATTGTGCTGTCCTATGGAAAGAACAAAATGTAGAGCCATGTTATTCAAACAGCTGAATTTATTTAGTATTGGCAAATTTTTAGACTTCAGTCTGAGAGTACTAAATTGGCTCACTAATAAAAATCGGTGTAATGAACATTCCCAGGTGATTTGATCGAAGTGTAATGCTTTTTGTGAATAATTTAAAAGTTGTCCATTTGTGTGAGAACAGAAACGTGAACAAACCAACCTTTTTCTTCATGGTCATGGCGTTTCTGAGGTGAATGGCCAGCTGTCGAATGTAGATAAAGGCGTGCTGATAGGTGACCTGCGTGTCCAAAGAGTACACTTCTGTCAAAGTTCTCTGCATGAAGTTGATCATGGGGAGTACATTGGGAGAAGTGAACTTGCAGTTTTGCACGTAGGAAATGTACATTTGCTGCAAAAAGAAAAGAAATCCATCAATTAAGAAGACGATTTAGAATTTGACATCCCATTTTTTTCAGGGCATGCCTCTGTTTACCTTTAAAATAGGGTTGAGATATGCTTCCTGTTTGTGTCTGCAGATTTTGTTGAGGGCCAAAAAGGAAAGAACCCGATTTGTTTCCTCCCCCGTGCTCCAACGATTCAATAGTTGCTAAACACAAAACAGAAAAGTCAAAATGACGAGGAGCTTCGAATAAGAACATCTCAATCTATCCTGAAACTTTGGGTGTTTAAGCTTTACCTTGATAAGGTGACGACACTGTTTGGGCAGACAAAGGTAGTAGGGGATAAGCTGGTTGATGTGCTGCAGAACTGCAGAGATGACTGTTGATTCTGTTAGACAGGACAACAGCTGCAGAAGACACCATAAAAAATACAGGAATGTTTATCAAACACAAAACCAATGAAATATTAGCAAATCAACTTAAGATGGAAAAGGCACAAAAAATAACTAACCTGAACCACTCCGGTTAGATACATCTTTATGTCAGTTTGATTTTTCTGCCATTTTGAGCTCGATGAAGGGAGCAACAATCTGAGAACAACAAAAGTGAGAAATTAATTTGAGCCTAAAAGGATTTTTCTTTGAAACTATCAGAAAGTTCAGCAGATGTATTTCTGACTTCATACTTTTTCTGGTCTTTGCTTGGCTTCAGGTTGAGTATCTTTTGCAGGGCCACATAAATATCTTTGATACAGAACAGGACCAAAGCATTGAAGACTGTAAAGATTAAAAATAAACACAGTATTAATGGATTTTCAACAGAATTACTTGTATATTAAGCATTGTTTAAATTTGTTTATTGTCTGGACTACGTATCTGGTGCAATGCATCAAATGTTTTAATAACATGCTGTCTTATTTAGACCCTGGACATTCGTGCCCCCATGTTTGTCGTGTGTGTGTGTGTTAGTCCGGACGGATGTTCTAAACTGCAAATTTCGTGCTGCACTGCATCTTGATGTTGTGTGAATGACAATAAACGATTCTGATTCTTTAAATAAAATGAATCAATCAATTATATAATTTTTTTAAATGCTTTAGGACACCCCCATAGTGCAAAAAAATAAATAAAAAATAAAAAAACTCAAATATTTGAAGCAAATTTCTGTGATAATAAAAATAATGTTCATAATACAGCATGTAATAAACCTGTCAGAATAATTTCATAATAAAGAACGTTTGCAGATAAAGCAGCATTTTTGTTAGCACCAGTGCTGTTGTGTTGTAGGTTTCATTATTGGCTAAAAACAAATAAAACAATAACTTGACAACAAATAGTTTTTGTCCTTAGGGTTCTTTTCTAGACTGTAAACAATTCCTAAATTCTCATATTAAAGTAGACTTAAAATCATTTCATTTTAGACAGAAATTTTAACACAGTTTGACAAATAATCTCCATCTTAATGAACCAAACTAAAAACATAGATTTACTGTAGGTGTCGACTCATAAAAATGGGTAGTGTCACCACAGACAAGAACCAAAAAAGAAACACTGTTCACAAGAAACAACTAAATTTTAAAAAAAATTGTATGCGAAAAGTGGACCATAAACTTAATGTGTAGCATCATCATCATCACTTTATTGTCCCCTTAGGGAAATTTTCCTTGCAGCAAAGTGAAGAAATACGAACAAATCACAGAAGACAACAACCACAATAATCATACTATGACCGTAGCAACAAAAAACACTTAAAGACAATATTAATAAAACAGGCTTAATGATGAAATTAAGCTTGATTACCTTTAAAATTTATCTGAACTGAGCTTGGCTGATGAATGAGTTTTTCCATCTATTGGTTCTTGATTTAGGATGCCTAAATCCTTTCCCAGATGGTAGGAGTTCAAATACCCCRTGAAGTGGGTGATTTGGAGAGTGGATAATGACTTCAGCCTTTTTCAGAACTCTCTTTAAAAAAGTTTCTGTTAGATCAGGTAATTTTTGCTGGCTACTTTTACAGTTTAAGCCTGTTCTTGTCTCCTACTGACAGACTGTCAAACCAGGTGATAAAAGCAAAAGTGAGGAGAGATTCAATCAGTGAGTTACAAAAAAAAAAAGTCATCAATCTTTCGCACACTCCAAATTTATTTCATTTGCGTAGGAAGTGTAGTCTCTGACTAGCTTTTTTATTAACCTTATCCAAATTTTCACTAAATAACAGCTTCTTGTCAATGACAACTCCTAAACATTTATAGGACTGAACACTCTCCACTAGGGTTGGGCATAATCGTACCGTGTGCAATTAATCGTCAGAAAAACATTAATCGATTATTTTTTTGGCACTTGACGTTTAATACGATTAATGCCACCAGGCTGACTGACGGGATTTCTCCTGTCAGTACGCTTGGTGCTCCTCTCCGCTTCAAACATGATGAACATTAAAAAAAAGTTCTCTAATTTATTTATCTATCAACATAATTTAGAATTTGATGTATTGCCTGAAGTCTGTAATTTTTACACAATTTGGAAAAGATTTTTACGAGGAGCAAATCTTTCCCACTAAATTGGTCATGTGACTAGGACGAGTGTTCAGGGACTCCAGGGCATTAATCGTCAAATTAATCGTTATCGGCTTAATACCGCAATTAATCGTGATGCCAACCCTACTCTCCACACGCTCGCCTTTAATGAGAACTACAGGTGCTGAACTGGACTTCTTCCTAAAATCTATACACATATCTTTAGTTTTTGAGACATTTATTTTCAAATAGCACTTCTCACACCACGTAATAAAATCATCCACTAACATGCAGAGGAGCTTAGTGCAAACGACCTTTAAAGAGAGAACACCCTAAAACGTTCACCAAACTAGTTAGATGATGACCTACCTGAGCTGTCAGCCACTTTGTACCGACATGGACCCTCTTCTTCACCCTTTGCCGTGGCGAGAGCCGCCTTGAAAGCCTGAGTGACGTCTCTGAAGAGACGAAGCGTGGGTTCTTTCCTCATAGCTGCTTTCCAGCCTTCAATCATTTTGTCTGTGATTTTGATCGTCTCTGTTGTCTGCTTGGACTTCTTTGAACCCTCCTTGCCTTCTTCCTCATCCCCATCCTCATCCTCGTCACCAGAGCTGGCTTCCTACAYGCAGGACATCACACACCTTTTGAATATTTTCATTTTAGAACATCGCTGTGACAACACACACCAGTGGCCGACATACCTCCAGTACAGATGGTAGTTTGTGGTACGTTTTCTCATCCTCATCCTCAGAAGTGTCCGTGTCATCAAAATTTAGGAGTGACTGGTCGTTCTCTTGCAGAAACTTGTAAAACTCTGGATCTTTGCTCTGTAATCTGGACAGCTGCTCCTTGTGCTGAGAGGCTTTACCCTTCTTGACATTTCTACACATGACATGTTGTATAGAAAAAACGAACACAAATCCAGTAGTGAGTAGTTTGCTCTAAACACATACAACGTGTGTAAATTATCCCAGAGCAATGAACTTACATGTCGGAGTCACTGTCTTTCTTTGTTGTCTTTTGGGGAGATTCTTCTTCAGAATCATCTTCGTTTGGGGACTCAAAACCTGACAACAGGAACTCGTCCATACTCAAGTCCTCCAGTTTTCTACCAGACATTCAGAAGACACACAGTTGTACACGTGTAGACAACATGTTGAAAAGTCCGTTGAGTCAAAACTAAATAAGTTGGTGTCTGAATGTCCAATCCACAACTAGCTGAAAGTGTATTAAAAACAACATACAAATGATTTCCTATAGAGATAACACGAGCTTAACGTGAAGATAACTTTAGATTAGCATTAGCATGACCGGTATATGCTAATGTAGCTAAACACATTCGCACCACWGTTTAGAGACATTTTACTTGAACTCGTGAAAACACGGTTAGGACTGACGGTACCTAACACTTTGTTGTCGGTTATATAAAAGCGAATATTGCAATACACGAGACATTAAAGGTAAAATTCCAGCATACCTTTTCTGTTTCGCTGCCATGCTGTGTCCACGACGAAATACCAAACCACAATACCCATAATCCTCTGGCGTAGGCGTGAACAAATAATTGGTTTTATGTTTCATGACCTAACGTATCGCGGCTTTTCCGTACTATTGGAACTACATATATTCATAAATAAAAATAATTGTCACATAAAAACAAACAAAAAAGACATTCATATATCGGACAAAAACGTTAAAGTAGCTAACAAGTAATAATATCAAATCAGAGGCTGCAAGACTACTGAAAATTTTGTTGAAAGCGTTCATACCAACCTATAAATTTCACAGCAAGAAACCTGCAACGAGAACAAGCAGTGTTTTGATGCCGCACGTGAGGTTAGATTAAATGATAGATTAAATGCTTAGCTGCGTTCACGAGACGCGGAAAAGTGGGGACCTGAAGAGAAATAGGTTTGCTTTTCCCTTTTTTTATCTGTTACTGCACACAACCACAATCCTGGGCAAGCTTGCAAACCGGAAGAAATCATTGCTGTCACAACGACACCGACGACGGCTGCGGGTGAGGACTGTCTACCAAGCAAGCTATCTTGTCAAACTGAGCCAACATTTAGCTAGCTAACAACAATAGACCCAAACAAGCATAAACCTCTTGTTCATATTTTAGCTTAATTTAATTATATAAACATAGTGTGAGTTTATTTACTAGCTTCATTTTTACATTTTTTTTACATTTAAACACAGTGATAATAAGTTTGTTGGTGTATGTTTGTTTTGATTTTCGGGCCAACCGAGCTGCGTTATGTCCGAAGGTACTTTAATCCCCGCCTTTCGTGAAAGTATGGGAGTAAATATCAAACGCACTTTCRTACCTAGCCCAAACAAAAGGTGGCTCTTAAGGCCGCATGTGTCATTTTAATTGACAAGAGATCGTTTATTGAGATTATCAGTACAATTCTTAGATAAAACAATTTATTCAATGTTTCTTTATTTTTACAGCCTTAGATATCAGATGTCTTCCCAGTTTAGTGTACTTTCCAAAATTACATTTTGGGCATTTAACGCGCCACCTTAAGCGATGTCAGCTTTTCGTGCAGTTTTTTTCTTCATTGACGTCAGCGTGTACAGCACAAAACAGAAGCTTTCTTCTTATTTCCTATACTGTAGTCAGATTATGGTCAAACAGCCAGACGATGGTTCCAGTCAAAAGGCAGTCTGACTGCGACAGCTGTTGATTCGTTTTCCATCACTTCAAGGCAGGACACGGTGTGCAAAAGATAACCGCAACAGACAACGACCGGTAAAAAGATATATTACTGCACATTCATTCTTTGCTGCTGCAGCTGATGATAGGTGCTGTTATTTAACATAGATGTCACGGGTGCTGAGGTTTTCTTAGATCATTAAAATGAGTATGATGTGCTGATTAAAAAAATCCAATACTACAACAAACAGCAGAGGTGTTCTCAGCAGTCTTGCTCCTGTCAAGGGAACATAGCTCCTGTGTGAAGATACAGGTGCAGAGACAGGGGGGGGGGGAGATGAGTAACTGTGGTTGTTGTGCTGTCATAATTTGTCTCAACCTATTTTATTTTCGTGTTTTTGTTTGTAGCCTTATTCCCCGAGGATTAAGAGGGGATTGTTCCCTTACAGTGGAGCACGGTTGGTGTGTTTTAATGGTCCATTGTGTTTTGGAAAATCATACCCACCCAGAGCTAGTCGCTAGGCAGCTGTGATGACATTTGAGATGGTGGTCAGTGGGACAGGAGATGGTGTGCAACTAAGAGAGCCACAGAACAAATGGCAGAAATTATTCAGATGCAGCAGCTCTTGGTGAGTTACAGAATTGTGATGTAAAACATAATCTTTTCTGTGTATTTTTAAGTGTGTGACACTGATATTCCGATGTTTGCGTTGGAACTAATTATCTAGTGTTTCTGTCTGTCAAATGACTGATTGGAAAGTATGGACTGGACTTTGTTTCAGATCATCAGCATTGACGACAAGATGAACAGACTTGGGGTGGTAGAAGCAGGAGGTCTGTAAGATATTTTTAAAATCAGATCTCATCTCAGCAATAGGCTGCTGTTGAAGTTGCTGTTCCCTTTTTTTGTAAGGCATCATTGAAGCATAAATTTCAGTATTACAGAAGCCTGTGTTGAGTCCATTGTTTTCTTTATTTAATTTTTTCTAGAATAGTTTCCCTCATCTTGTGCTTCCTGAATTCATTCAAATATTTCTAAAAATAATTTCTTAAATGCTGCATAAGTAATTTCTTAGATAATATTTGTGAAAGTACTTTTAATTTCCCAATTATTATGTTTGACTTTTACTTAAGTACTTGCCAGTGAAATTGATTTTTACCTAAGTATTTTTTTGTGAAGGTATTTTTACTCACTCGATTTACCAGTCGGTAGGTGGGTAGTGACCGAAAGAACAAGATCACGGATACAAGCGGCTGAAATGAGTTTCCTCTGCAGGGTGTCTGGGCTCTCCCTTAGAGATAGGATGGGAAGCTTTGTCATCCGGGAGGGACTCAGAGTAGAGCCGCTGCTCCTCCACGTCGAGAGGAGCCAGTTGAGGTGGCTCGGGCATCTGGTTAGGATGCCTCCTGGACGCCTCCCTGGTGAGGTGTTCCGGGCACGTCCCACTGGGAGGAGGTCCAGAGGAAGACCCAGGACACACTGGAGGGACGATGTTTCTCAGCTGGCCTGGAAACGCTTTGGGATTCCCCCAGAGGAGCTGGCCCAAGTGGCTGGGGAGAGGGAAGTCTGGGTCTCTCTGCTTTGGCTGCTGCCCCATGACCCGACTCTGTATAAGTGGAAGAAAATGGATGGACGGCTGCATAATAATAGTTGTGAATACTGCAATCCAGTTGAAAGTTGTTAGTCAGAAGATGCATTTAGAAAACTGAGGTCGTAGAGGAAACAAATATTTTGTTTTGATTTAATTAGCAGRTTTTTCTAGGAAAAGCGCCTTTCGACTCAATTGTCAGCATAAGATCTAATCACACTTGACACTGTGAAATAATCAAGTCAGCACTTTGCATTGTCTTAGTCAGATTTCTGCATGAGGTTAGACATCACGTCAAAGCTGACAGGATGAAGACTTGAAGTGTGACGGTAGTTACAGTGACTGCTCACGGTATCTGTCATATCAACTTTCCTTTTTTCAAATTACCTTCTTGCAGCCAAACAAAGCTCTTAAAATGTTTAGATATGACACAAAAAACACTTTTATTGAATAAATGCTTTTTAAAAAATGTGTTTATTCAGGTGCTCAGTGTGCGGTCTAGACAGAAGTCCACAACCGCAACCTCAGGCACCATGATGGAGGGGGGCATGCAGCTGCTCAACCGGGATGGACACAGCATCTCGCACAACTCCAAACGCCACTACCATGACTCCTTCGTCTCCATGAATAGGATGCGACAGCGTGGCCTGCTGTGCGACATTGTGCTTCATGTCTCCAACAAAGAAATCAAGGCACACAAAGTGGTGCTGGCGTCTTGCAGCCCCTACTTCCACGCGATGTTTACCAGTAAGTCACCTAGCATTAATACTACTCATACAGCCTGTTGTGGTTTTGTTTTTAATCCTTACGTGTCATTAAGATTTGGATAGGCTCAGACTTTAGTTCTTTATTTTATTGGTATAGGGGTTTATGACTTGTTTTGTGTGCTTGTTCAGTTTTTGCCTGTTCATCTCCTCACCCCTGTGTCTGATGGTCAGACAAGTTGTGAGCCTCTGACTTTCTGCTGACACTAGCCTTTGTAAGAAAATGGTGTCATTTGTTCAGATTTACCTACTAGACTTACTCTTCTCTGACCCAGTCACTAACTAATTCATAGCATCTGAACCAGAAAAGCTCAGTAGATGTGTTTAACTACCGATTGTAGAAATGAAGCAGAGCTTTCTTGCATAATTCTGCTGGAACCAGGTTGGGGAGGGAGTTTAAATATAAGAATCTGAAAAAGCTGACTCCGTTTAAACAACTCATTAAATGGATTGAAAGAAATAAACTGTGCTGACGTTTAGCTGCAGCTCTGTGTACGTTTGCCGATGCCCCGTGTCAGTGTAACTGAAGAGGGAGGTGATTTTTATCAGCTGGAGTTTTAATAAGTTATAACTTTTATAAGGAGAAGTTCAACTTGTCTTGCTTCATGTGGTCATGCAGATGAGATGTCTGAGAGTCGGCAGACCCATGTGACCCTTCATGACATCGATCCTCAGGCTTTGGAGCAACTGGTCCAGTATGCCTACACAGCAGAGATTGTAGTTGGGGAAGGCAACGTGCAGGTAAGGTTGCATTTTTTTAGGTTCATTAAACCAAAGTTTGGCAAATGATGCTATTGCTCCTTACACAAAATTACATTCCTCTCAGACGTTGCTCCCAGCAGCGAGCCTCCTGCAGCTCAATGGGGTCAGAGATGCATGCTGCAAGTTCCTCCTCAGTCAGCTGGACCCTTCCAACTGCTTGGGCATTCGAGGCTTTGCAGACACACACTCCTGCAGCGACCTCCTCAAGTCTGCACACAAGTATGTTCTGCAGCACTTTGTGGAAGTCTCCAAAACAGAGGAGTTCATGCTGCTGCCGCTGAAACAGGTAGGACTGATGCTGTCTCTGTCTGCTGGCATTTTCCCTGTGGGGCATGCCAAAATAATGGTGCATTTGTTTTTTAAGGAAAGAATAAACAAGTGTTGTTTTGCTTACCATGTATTCAAAGCATAGTGTTGCAATTAAGAACTCATTCTGTGAAAGAAACTTCCTCAATTTTTTTTTCAAGTGTTGTGGTTGAACTTGTCTTACTTAAWAATGTCAACAATCGTAAATACTTGACAGGAAATTATTTAACCTGTAATGAACAACTTAAAGTTTGCTACATTTTCAATACATATCTTGAATGTTTTAATCATTCCACTTTGTGACCATTGTTTATTTTATCTGATACATCAACTCACCTAAACTATTACATCTCGGGGTTCAGTGGTGGTAGCACTGCTGTTCAAGTCCTGGAGGTGGTAATTAAGCAAAGCTGGTGACATTTTCACAGCTGCTCTGCTGTTTATAGCCCAAACAACAGTGTTTATCTTTTGTCACATCAATAAGGGCTTCTATTTTGGCTTTAGCTTAAAGGTTTGAAATTATTTAAGCCAAGCTTTTGAAGGTAATTTAGCTTATATTTATCATTCTATTAGTACTGTGTATTTATTCTTAAAAAGTTGTGACAGGCCTGGAGCTTATACCAGCCTACCACGTGTGTTATTAGTTTGTTTGTCAAATTAGCAGGTCAAGTGTTGAGCTGCTCAGCAGCCAACTGATCAGACTGTTCATTTAATTCTTTGTTCAGACTGAACAAAAACTTGATTTGCATTGTTTTCAGTGGAAAAGGATGTCATCAGGCCTGTGGCAAATGAGTATGCCATGGATGTGTTTGGCTCCAGTTGAAATATGGACACACTGGTGTGTTATCAGGACTGCAGTAATGAAGTCAACCCTGAAATAAGAGTTTTACTAACCGACATGATAACTCACAATTTATTTTCAGTCACAGTTTGAAATAGGGACTCCCGCAGTCCAAATAAACATAAACTGTTTTTCTCAGAGCTGTGTTTGGACTGGTGACCTGTCCAAGACTAACTCTGCTTCTCATTTTGTGAGCTGAGACAAGATCCTGTCCTCCTACTGTAGAAGACAGCTTTAATGTGATAAAATGAATACAGAAAAATAAATAAATAAATAATTTTTTTGTATGACAGGCTGTAGGAAAGACAAATGCTATTGAATTCAGCATGTAGAAAGCAAGTGTTCAGTGTTGTCCTTGAAAATATGGTATGGTGCCAATGCAGTGAGTGTAAGTAAGGTGCTTCTGGCAAAGAAAAAGCAGTCAATCACCTTGATTTAATTTAGCAGGTGGGCCCAGCTTTTTATTTTTTTGGCACAACCATGCTACTTTCAGTGTAGGAACAATATTGTCACAATGTTTTGTTCTGATAACGATGGCTCTKCAAAGACATCTTGTCCTTTTTCAGATTTGTTATGTAATTTACTTGTTATTAATTAATAAAGATCCTTTTACAGTTCAAGATAAACTTACATTTTCCTAGACCTAATAATATTTTGGAAAATTTTATCACTGTAACCAAATTTGTAAAGTGAATAAGTTTCTTTTTGTGTCACTTTTTCAATTTCTAATCTTTCATTATGTTTGATCTTTTTAGTCACATGGCAATTTAGTTTTTTAGAGTCTATAAGTAATTTATTGGGTTATTTTAAGTTTAATGTTCACCACAATCTGTAGGGAAGAATTATAGGATTTTAAATGCAATGACAGCTTCTCAGATGCCTGAGTCTTTCAAAGTGAAGGTGATTTAAAAGTAACAAACATCTTAAAAATAATTATTAAAAAAAAACTGTAGTGAAAGATGGGTAAAAGAAATACACTAAATTCCACAATGTTTCTGTTTTTTAAAAGCTTTGAGTGTGTGGGTACAATCCATTAAATCAACAACTTAAGCAAATTAAAGTGCAACCAGGTAAAATTAAAAGCACACTATTTTCTTAAATTCCATTTTTCTTTCTTGATTGGCCTTCTACCTCATTCTGTCTGCATCTGTTTCGAGCAGATCATAAATCTGCACCACATCTGAATTTATGTACCGTCTCCTCTAAAAGACTCTGAGCTTACATCGCTGTGAGATATGCCCCATTTTTGCCTTCATCTGTGTGGAAAGTGGAGAGGCGTGACAGGATTGTGACTAGTCAGCGTGGTTGGGGTTCATTAATGCAGCATGACATGCGTGACATTTTGAAGCACGATGGCTGCATCTTACTTTGTGTGTGTGTGTGTGTGTGTGTACTTGTTTTGCCTACAGAGTGAGGACCATGTTAGGTTTTTAATCAACAAAGTGAGGTCGTTTTTGGAAAGTGAGGACCTTTTTCCGGTCCTCACTWTCTTTGCAGCTCTACTGTGCTTTACTAGTTAGATTTAGAGGTATGGTGTGAATTAGGTTTTGGTTCAGCTTAGTGTTAACTATACACCAGTAATGGTTAATTTTAGGGAAAACATCTGGGTTAGGCATAAATACAGTTACAAAAATGAATGGAAGTCAATACAAAGTCCTCAGTTTAATGAATACAAGGGTGTGTGTGTGTGTGTGTGTGGACGGGTTTTTCATACAACGTGGGGAATTTTTCCCAAAAAAGCAACCTTGTGGGGACCAAAGTGAATCGTGGGGACCAATGCCAGGTCCCCATGGGTCCAAATGCAAATTACGAGTGTGGGGTTAAGTTTAGGACCAAGGTTTAGGTTMGTTTTAGGGTCAGGTTAAGGCTATAAAGTCTAAAAAAATGAATCGAATTAAATTGAAGGTCCCCTCAAGGTTCAAGAACAAACGTGTGTGAGTGTGAGTGTGAGAGAAGACATCTAGACATAGGTGAGACCTTCGTCGTACATGCTTCCTAAATCTCTGTTGCATCTTTCAGTACAAGGACAGCTTTCACAAATGTAAACAGAGCTAGTTCTGATTTTACATTTCCTCTACATGTTTGCAGCCCTTGGTCTGTTTATTTGATGCAGTATGTGCATGCAGCTGTAGCTTTGACTGCAGGGTGGGGCAGCAGCAGTTTCTCTGTGTGTGACAGTGGATTAGTGGAGGCTGTGGTCCTCTGAGGCAGCTAAGTGTTGCCTTGATGTGACTAGGCAAGATGACCGCTCCAGCAGCTGGCTGTTCTGTTCCCTTCCAGCCTCGCCAGATTAGAGTTGAATTGGGATCGGTGCCAGACAGCCACTCAGACTGCTGCATTTGTTGTACCACAGATATACACAAGTACTTGTGGCTGAAAGCTACACACAGAGATCATGATATAAAGCACAAGACTTTCTGTGTGCACGTTTATCTTATTAAAACTTGACTGATTGTATTGGAGGGAAGCTTTAAAATGATGAGGCAAAGACAGGAAGAAAGCTGGAGAGGCAGGAGTTTAGCTGAGATTAGATTTAGCACAGAAACTAGGATTGTCGGTTAAAGCTGTTGACTTCCTGTTTGTTGCCATTTTTCCCACAAAAACTGCTGCAAGTGCTTTTTAATGGTCATTTTTAAATTAAGCGTAGTGACTTTTCAGATGGTTAATATTTTAAGTTCAATGAAAAAAAAAAACAATTTGGTCTGTCTGTCCCTCTTTGTCATGCCGGTCCAGGTCCTGGATTTGATCTCCAGTGATAATCTAAACGTCCCGTCCGAAGAGGAGGTGTACCGAGCCGTGTTGAGCTGGGTGAAACACGATATAGATGGGCGTAGACAACATGTGCCTTGGGTAAGACTCTTCTCACCTGTCAGGATTTCCCTACACACACTGTTTTCTGTTTTCCAGTGTAAAACACGTTTCTTCTGTTACTCCTGACCTTAACTCACTCTCACGTCCTCGACTCTGTGRCATCAGCTGATGAAGTGTGTGCGGCTGCCGCTGTTGAGGCGAGACTTCCTGATGAGCAACGTCGATACAGAGTTGCTGGTGCGTCACCACTCGGAGTGCAARGATCTGCTGATCGAGGCTCTCAAGTACCACCTGATGCCCGAGCAGAGGGGAGTCCTGAGCAACAGCCGGACACGCCCGCGGCGCTGTGAGGGTGCCAGTCCTGTGCTCTTCGCCGTTGGTCAGTGTGCCCCTGAAGGTACCCATTAGGGTACACTTAGAACATTTGTCTCACGTTTAGTTTCTTATGTCGAAAATGTAAAGACTGTTTAATAAAATTCGTTTGGTGACACAGGTGGCGGCAGCCTGTTTGCTATTCATGGAGACTGTGAGGCGTATGACACCCGGACGGATCGCTGGCACATGGTGGCATCCATGTCCACCAGGCGGGCACGAGTAGGTGTGGCAGCTATTGGGAACAGACTTTATGCTGTCGGAGGGTGAGTCGATTAAAAACTGTCGTCTTGACCAATTATCATCAACTAGTCTCCATCTGATTTTTTTAAATATATTTTTAAAATCTTATCTGTTGAGGTATTTATGGGGCGGGTGTGGTGCAGTGGTAAGGCAGCCRACTTGGGACCAGAAAGTCACAGGTTTGACTCCCCACCACACCCACAGGTCGTGGTGTCTTTGAGCAAGACATCTAATCCCTAAATGCTCCCCAGTAGTGCTGCCACAAACAATTATTTTTACAGTTGWTTAATCACGTTATTTTTTTTTGATCAGTCGACTAATCGGATCATACGTTAATTGAATATAAAACATACAGCTTATTGCGCCAGAATGCAGCTGCTATTATATAACCATSGTTAGATTTTAGCTATATGCTAACTAAAAATAATYGCTGTGGAAGGYAAGTTCTGCTCTGCAGATATTRMACAGGTTTCTCTTTCATTTTCTTAAAATGATCCCACACTTTGAGCTCTGTTGTCAGGTAGCCATGATACCAGAGCCTGTCTGTATAATGTCTTGTGACGTCCACGGCCTACCCCAGTTACCACTACTGTGCATGTGTGTCAAGGACAGAAAGGCAGATGCAGCAGTGGAAGGTGTCAAAGCAGTTTGGAGAGAAAAACAAAGTAAAAAAAACTAATCGACTATTAAGTTAGTCGTTGACTAAACATGGCAGCCCTACTGCACAGGCGCTTGCATAGCTGCACGCTGCTCCACTTGTGTGTCTCTCACAGGGCATGCTTTGATGACGATGCATAGCACGTTGTTCTTATTTTTGTTGTTGTGAGTTGTAGTTTAGCAACTGTTAGACTCGCATTGCATCTTTCCTCAGAGAGGGTTCTGCCAAAACAATGCTACGCTCCAAACCCTTTCTGTTCACTTTTCTCTTAAGATATGATGGCACTTCTGACCTTGCAACCGTGGAGTCCTACGATCCCATCACTAATGCCTGGCAACCAGAGGTTTCTATGGGAACAAGACGGAGCTGTTTGGGTGTAGCTGTTCTGCACGGCCTGCTGTACGCTGCTGGAGGTTACGATGGTGCCTCCTGCCTCAACAGGTACACAGACTTGTGTTATGGAAATGATCACTGTGCACGTCACACTTGGTTCGTCCGTCTATTGGTCCTTTATGTGCCACTTGTTTGGGAGTGGGATGGTGGGGGCTGCAGTTTGAGCAGAGAGACCCTGACAGCGCTTCTTTCCACAGCCACCTCCTCCAGCTCTTCCAGGAGGACTTCAAGGTGCTCTGAGGCCAGCTGTGAGACATAGTTTCATAGACAGATTTGGAGGTGCTGATTCTCATCTCAGACTAAGTATTTCTTTCCCCGCCTCAGCTGCCTGGCAGTTTGCCAGAATCTTCTTGGAGCTGATGAAGAGTTTCTATTTAAGGCCTCACTGAACTCCTCCCACATCTGAGCCTTTGCCTCAGCAACAGCCAGGGCGGCAGCTCGCTTGGCCCGCTGATACTTTTCACCTGTCTCTAGAGTCCTGCCGGCCAACGAGGCATGATGGGACTACTTCTTCAGCTTGATGGCCTCCCTTACCCAGGGGGAATATGGCCACCACTAGAGGCTCCAACAAGCTGGCAGCCACAGCTCAGGGCAGCCCCTCAATAATGGAGGTGCGAAACATTGGCCACCCTCACTCGATGTCCCTCCCTTCTGCTGGGATGCTCTATCGCAGTGGTTCTATTGATTTTGAAAATTATTACATTGAGATCCTTGCAGATTTTTATTTTGGTTTTGTTTTTTTAACAAAACTGACGGATTTCTTCCCTAAACGATTGTTTACTTTAACTGGATTGTATTTACAGGCTTTCAGCTCATGTAGTCATTTAATACTATTTATATTCAAATTTACTGAATTATATTTATCACAGGTCAGAGCTACACTGCAGGTGGAGATGAGGTCCAGCTGCGTCTGAGCCTCTGTAAACAATGGTCAAATGATCTCACACAGTTTTGTTGTGCGTGTGAACACACAGTGTTACGGTGGAAATACTGCGAGGTGCTTTCAGAAATATATTTAATCCTCGGTGGAAAATAGTCAAACACTGATGGTATTCCTGAGAGCGAGCACCTGCCCTGAAGGCTCGGTTATAGTCGTGCTTTGGACTCGGGGAAGGCATGCGCGCGCACCGTCTCCAGAGAAGGAGGTGCTCCTTACGTTGTAGTTTTTTCCAAAAGGACATGCAGCACTACACTTTATAACTTGTGAAATGTTGTAAACGCTTGACAAACTGAATGCTGTGACGCGTTGGCAGCCTTTGTGGAGTTACTCAAGGCTGTGCGCACCCGCTGTCAGTCAGACAACACGACCCGCCCTCCTCTGATCTGATTGGGTAAAACCTTGACTGTGGCTCTCTCTGTTGGTTGAAAGAACAGTCCGTTTAAAATCTAAATTTTTCTTTTTCTCTTTCCATTTTTAATGATTGTCACCTGTCACGGAGGAGAACTTTACAACCAGGAGGCGGGATCTGGTTGTCCGAACCTAAACAATGATTATGCCGACCTCAGAGGTGGTACATTATGCCCCCCTGACAAAGGCTGACAAAGATTTTCCTCTTTCAGTGCAGAACGCTATGACCCTCTGACCAGTACATGGACTTCCATTGCTGCCATGAGCACCCGAAGGAGATATGTACGAGTAGCAACTCTGGGTAAGAATATTTGTTTTGAATGCCTGTTCTTTTACATATTTATATTTTGCCATCTATAATTTATTATCAGAGATGAAGAGGGAGTTTCTACCTTGGTATGTGTCTGCTAATATTTATGTTTCCCTCCAGATGGCAGCTTGTATGCAGTGGGAGGATATGATAGCTCCTCACATCTGGCAACGGTGGAGAAATATGACCCTCAGGTAAAATCCTGATAAATTTATCATCATAATGTTAAGCTTGCGTTTTGCCAAGTTCCTTTATCATTAAATCCTAATAAAATCATAAGCTATAGCTGAATGTACAAAACAAGCACATCAGAAATCATGTTTTGGTTCTACGCGCAGAGCAACACGTGGACGGCCATCGCCAACATGCTGAGCCGGCGCAGCAGCGCGGGGGTGGCTGTGCTGGACGGCATGCTGTACGTGGCGGGGGGGAACGACGGCACCAGCTGCCTGAACTCAGTGGAGCGGTTCAACCCAAAGACCAACACCTGGGAAGGAGTCGCCCCCATGAACATACGCAGGTCAGCCAGCAACAGGAACCCTTATTAGCTCAAGTACTGCAGACCAGTTCGAGTTCAGTGACTTTTAAAACTCTGATGCATTAATACAAAGGAAGTCACTCCTAACTATCATCAGTGTGGGGACCACAGGAATATTAAATGCACCAGAACAGGTCAGGAATCAGCTTGTAGCCAAATGAAATGTTGCTTTTATTACTGTGTTAAAAATTTACAGAGTTTAAAAGCTGAAGAGCTTATTGTACTTACTTGAGAGACGGAACTAGAAAATGTAAGAAAGGAGCTGACAAACCACCTGGGATGGGTCCAGGGAATGTAATTAAACGAGATGCACCTTAGCCAGCTGCACCATCAGGATGACCCAGTTGTACTCCTAGAGAATGCTTTTTATTCAGGCATCATTTTTGAGCTGCTGTGCAAACGTGACACCTTGCAGACAAACCAGTCTTGCCTGGCTGAGTGACTCATTCTAATCAAAATGCCAACAAATATTGGCCGACAGTGATTTCACTGCCTCGTCCTGTTTTTGGTCACCGCACTTGTAAGCAAACCATGTCGATGTATCTCTCTAATAACACAGTGTTAGAAAACCAYGATGAGACATCCACACCCCAAAATATAGTCAGATAGCTTAATCTTGTTGTCAGGAGATGAGCGTTCTTCTCTGAAATTCTCTAAAGTAAGTGAAAGATAATAATTTCTTTGAAATTCTGCTGTCTAACTGTCTTTTATGGAGCTTATCAAAAGGGAGCCCAGCTGAAGATATTTTGCTGTGCCAAATCTTCTCTGTTTAAAGCAAAAGATTTCAGGCTTTTCCGTGTCCTTTTCTACTACTTAAACCTTCTCAAGTCATAAACATCAAAAAGCTTTCCTCTCCGAAAAAGTCGGTTGTGTTTATTTCATGGAAGATGAAAGCTAGAATTTGCTTTGTGAGTGACAGGACAGGCATGCTTGTTGCACCCTTACAGCATTGTGTTGTACACGATTTGCATCAGGGAAGGAGATTCGGAGATGTAGCAGTCTGGCAGCGGTCGTTGAGATCACATCAGTCAATTCTCTTCCTACATGAACGCAGAGATGCAGGCTTGGTTTAAGAAGAGAAAATCGGTATAACGTAGGAGCTGAGAAACCAGAAAACAGCTGACTCTGCAGCTTCAAGAATAACTCAAACATGACCCATCACATCGAATTGACGAATAAGTCCTGAAGTGGTATGTGGAGGAATAGGCAGATAKCGGCCATTGATTAAAACATTTACATTTGCACTTTGTCAAAATAGAATGAACAAATGCTTTATCAGTGGATCATTAGAGGAGGTACTTTTTTTTAGCAGTAGCCAAAAAAAAAAAAGATTTTTGGAACAAATGCCTTTTTAAATTTTTTGTTACAAGCCCTGTGTGCTAACAAAGCATTTTTTTATTTCAGCTGGGAAATCTCAATGTCTAAATACTATTTGAGGTTTCCTCTTTGAAATTACATCAAAAATCTTTATTAGAACAACCTAAAATAGGATTTAGGCTAACCATTATTACTATTTGTATAACTATTAAACTCATGATGTCAGGATGATCTAAATATCATAAGAGCAGAAATATGAAAATGTGCTGAAGTAATTTTGACCAGATTTGACCTAATCCTCCTTTTGATGTGATGGGTCACATATAGTATATTGTGTGGCTCTATATACATCGTTCAAAATATCACATTATATTGATCACTGATTGTCACCATTTTTATAACC